CCTCTCCCAATTTCAGAACAAATGGAGAAATAAAACACAGGAGACAGACAGACAGACACCCCGCCTCCTGTGAGCAGGGATGGGACGAAAGGCCAGATCTCAGAGGCAGCAGTGACTGGCCACACCCCACTGACCCGGCTGGGACCATGTTGGCCTTGGCACCAGCCTTTGGTCTAGAAGGGGCCAGAGACTGACCAAGAGGGCTCCCCTGGTGGCTTCCTGAGCTTTCAGGCCTTCATCGAGCCCCTGTCCTTTCACAACTGGGAAAGCTCTGGACTTCAGCGTGTACTGAGCAACCACAGCTGCTCTCAGCCAGGCACTTGGCGTAGCTGAGCCCATATATTCCTCACAATAACCCTGTGAAGGAGGTGGCGTGGGTCCCGCTCTACGTGTAGAGTCAGCCACTGTGACTCAGAGAAGTTCTGATTGTTCGGCTCCCCCATTAAGTGGCAGAGCCTGTGTTCCTCTCCGGGGTCTGACTCAGTCCAGTGGCACAATAGCCCATGGGGTATCAGGATGAGATAAGAGTTCGGAATGGTGACCTCCTGAGACCTGTGTCGCACTCAGTGAACAGTGAACCACACTGGGTTCAACCAATGCGGGTTGTTTCTGGTGCTTTGGCCCACTCTCGCCATTGGAGCTGTTTCTCAGTTATCCCAGGATGCTGCTCTGGAGTCTTCCCAGCCTCTGTACCATCATCTCTAGGTAAGAACCCAGCACCTTAGAAGGCCCTCAAGCTCTTCCTAGTGTGGCTCTAACCTTCCTATTAGCATCTTCCCCTGTACCACGGCCCCCACCTGCCTTCCCTGGGCATGTCCTTGCCCTCTTCCTCCAGCCAGGAACGCCCCACTTACCACTCTGCACCCTGAAATCTTTCTCACCCTTTGCTCCCTGGCTCAAGCCAGCCTCAGGGACTCCTCAGCATTGTCCGCTTTTGCATCTCTGGCTCTTAGGTTGCTTTGCCTTGATTCAAGGGATTTGGGCGCACTCTGGCTCCCCTACCAGTCCCAGCTGCTCCTCTGCGGAAACTCTGTCTCTCCTGACCCGGGGCGCCAGAGAAAAGGTATGTGGCAGCACTGGCCTCAGAGCAGCCTGCACCTGGAGGGCTGCAACCCAGCCTCTGCTCCCCCTACCCCACACGACATCGCCTGCCCAGACACCACTTGGCTTGTGAGAGACAACAGACAAGGCTAAGTGGCTCCTGGGACAGCTGAGTGATGCCAGGCAGGCGCCTGACACACCTTCTGTACAGGAAAACAGTTTCCTTCCTCTTAATTACAGTCATTAAGGGGCCTGCGCCTGACACACTGCAGCCAGGGACAGGGCTTGGGTCTGTCTGGATGATTCCCATCACCCTTGGCCACCACCTCTAGGCCCAGCCCCAAGGCCAGGAGCCACCTGTCTGCCCTCCCATTGCCCTTGACCAACTCAGCTCACAGGGAGGGCTGCCTAGGGAGGGGCAGCTGGTCCCTCAGCCCTGGGGGATTTGATTTGATTTGCACGCAAGCATTATCATGATGTCTGGGATCCACTGGAACCCTTTGCCCTTCAACCAAGTCTTCCCACCCCTGCCCCTCTCCGTTGTGCTCTCTGTCCACAGCCCCAGTACCGCAACGCAGAGTCCGACACAAGGACTATCCCGCCGCCCAGACACACGTGCACACACAGGTCCACGCACACTGCTGCGCCACGCAGGCACACAAACATCACAGACAGGACGTGCACACACATACAAGCACAGGTACAGTTATGCACAGGTACAGGTGTATATATTTAGTCAAACCATATGAAATTGCCAATATTCGGTGGTTTCTTATGTACAAAAAAGGAATTTAGTACAAACCTGGGCCTGGGGGGAAGTATACAAAAATACAGAGCCAAATTTGTACACCTGTGCCTTATTTACAACAGCCAAAAGGTGGAAGCAACTCAGGCATCCATCTGAGGAGGAACGGATGAGCTAAATGTGCTCCACACATGCAAGGGGATATTATTCAGCCTGAAGTGGAAGGAGATTCCGACATACACTACAACGTGGAGGAACTCGAAGATGTGAAGCTACGTGAAATGAACCAGTCACAAAAGGACAAAACCGTATGATTCCACTTAAATGAGGTATCTAGAGGAGTCAAATTCATAGAGACAGGAAACAGAATAGTGGGTGCCGGGGGGTAGGGGAGGGAGAAATGGGGAGTTCACGTTTAGTGGGTACAGAGCTCTAGTTTTGCAAAGTGAAAAGAGTTCTAGAGATGGATGGTGGCGAGGGTTACACCATAGTGTGAATGGACTTATGACACTTGAAGTGTACCACTTAAAAATGGTTACAATAGCAGATTTTGGCTTCGTGCAGTGGCTCACACCTGTAATCTCAACACTTTGGGAGGCAGAGGCAAGAGCATCACTTGAGGCTGGAGTGCAGTGGCGTAATCTTGGCTCACCTCTACCTCTGCCTCCTGGGTTCAAGCGATTCTCCTGCCTCAGCCTCCCAAGTAGCTGGGATTATGGGCGCCTGCCACCACACCCACCTAATTTTTGTATTTTTATTAGAGATGGGGTTTCACCATGTTGGTCAGGCTGGTCTTGAACTCCCAACTTCAGCTGATCCGCCCACCTCAGCCTCCCAAACTGCTGGGATTATAGGCATGAGCCACCACGTCCAGCCATGAATTCTTCTTTAAAGGCAAATGTTATGTGTATTTTACCACAATTAAAAGATACAGAGCCAAAGATGTGTACCTGAAGTATATGTATAAACACTGCAGGATAAACACAACTAACTCAGTGACATGCAAACTTGCCTCCCTCCCTCCCCGGAGCACTTCTCCCACCCAGATAAGACCCTGGTTGATCCTCCCCTTCAAACAAGGGCCTGGAGATAAGGCCCTAATGATGGCCCTGCCACCTCGGATACCCCCACAACTCATTACCCTCCCACGGTCTGGCTTTGTTTACTCAACCTTCTGCCCCTCTTGCAGCCTCCTCACCCCCTGGGAAGGGCCTCCTTGGAGTGCCAGGTGCTCCTGCACCTGGGATGGGATAGTGTGGGTCATAACTCCTGACCTGTGGCTCCCCCATGCTCCCCCAGGTCCTTCACTTATAGGGTCCTCGAAGACACAGCCCTAGCCCCATTCATCTTTGGTCCTAGGGCTCAGTTCAACTCGGGAACCTCTAAATCCCACCCAGCTCTCTCCCACTATACATGTGTCAAGTTGTTTGGACACAGAAGACCCTGTGTTCCGGACATGATCGCAGACCAGACGAACCAAGTGCGCTCAGTGCTAAACAGGGCTGCGAGACACGGCTTTAGGTCTTCTGCTCTTCCCGCCGTCCTCGCTGGACCTCACGCCTCTGTGGAAAGGTGGTGACTGCTTCTGCCTAGCCTGGCTCCCCAACTGCAGCTGCCACCTGCTCACCCCGTTCCCCAGAGCAAAGCTGCTCAGCATCCTCCGAAGGACACACAGTGCATGCTCCGGGACTTCAGTCTTTGCTGGGGCAGAGGTCAGAAATCTGCCTGCCCTGTTTGCCTACTGACCTTGCAGTGTGTTCACCCATTCTCTGAAACAACCTTTCAACCATTTTCATACTCAGCCCTGGAGGAGGGGAGGAAGCCTGGGGTCTGGCCACCACCAGGCCAAGAACATCCCTGGAGTTAAGGGTGTTGCAAGCATAGCCATCTGGGACAGCATGTCTGAGGGGTGGGCCTTAGCCCACTGCCCACAGTGCACTGGGCACTTGTTAAAAGACCCAGGAATTCAAGGTTACAGTAAGCTATGATCACACCACTGCTCTCTTTAGCCTGGGTGACAGAGCAAGATCACGTCTCAATTGAAAAAGAAAAATGGCCAGGTGTGGTGGCTTACACCTATAATCCCAGCACTTTGGGAGGCTGAGACAGGAAGATTGCTTGAGGCCAGGAGTTCAAGATCAGCCTGGACAACATAGTGAGATCCCATCTCTTAAAAAAATTCAAAAATTAGCTGAGCATGGTAACATGCACCTGTAATCCCAACTACTCAGGAGGCTGAGGTGGGAAGATCACTTGAGCCCAGAGAAACTGAGGCACAGCTGTAGTGAGCTGTGATTGCGCCACTGCACTCCAGCCTGGGTGACAGAGCAAGACCCTATCTCAAAAAGAAAAAGAAAAAAGAAAAAAGACAATCTCCAGAAGCCTATGGACACCTTCTGGATGAGAATCTCCAGGAGGGTGGGGCCCGGGGGTCTGCATTTCATCACCTCTCACCAGCCCTGGGGTCAGGGTGAGAGCCACTGCCTTAGGTTCTTGAATGACAGCTCTGAGCGGGGGTGGGAGAGAGCCAGGGGGCTGTGAGCACCACAGTTAAGATGGTGGAGAGTGGCAGGACGATTATGGGAGCAAAAAGAGGACTGGCTGGGGAACAGACAGGCATTGATGTCCTTGGATATTCCATGTGATGCTTGTTCAGCTCTCATTTAGGGCCTTGCAGACTTGAGCCAAGGCATGTGCTATCCACTATGGTATGTGCTGTGGGGGGCCATGGCCAGTCTGTAAATCTTCATTTGGGTGAGTTTATGCAAGTCAATGTGATTAAAGTGTGTGGTCGGCCTGTGTCAGCCCACACTCCATATCTGTGTATCGGTCAGTTGTCAGTGTGTCCGTCTGCGTGTGTGTTCATGTCTTTTCCTGGGTGTCTTGAGTGGCTCACCCACCTGCAGTGTGTGTGCGTGTGCCTGTGTGTTCCTGAGCCGCCTGGGCCCCTCTTGGCTATAATTCAACCTCTGTGGGTCCCAGGAAGTCAGCATTTGGAGACATGCTCGGAGCCTGGTAGGGATGGGGCCGCGTTGCTAGGGAGGAATAGAGGGAGGCAGGAGTGTGCACCGAGAGCCTGGCATTGCCGCTTCCCCGGGCAGGCGAGTCCCAACACAGGCAGACAGGTGGGGCTGGCCTGACAGGTTCCAGAGGCCAGGGGCAATAGGGCGGAGCGTGGCTCTGATTTAGGGTGGCAACAGTTTGGGGGCCCGCCACACACACAGCGAGCGGGCGGGCAGGAGGTGGTTCTGCCGGTCTCCTTTTCTGCTGCAGCCAGCCCAGCGTGCGGGCCATGGGCCCTGCTGGCGGGTGAGGCAGCCGCTGGGCAGGCATGTTCGGAAGCCCAGGGCCTGGGAGCCTGGGGGCCCAGGGCATGGCGGGACCCCTGCGGGGCCGGGTGGAGGAGCTGAAGCGGCCGTGGTGGCGGGAGAGCTCACCGCTGGTGCTGCGGCACAGCGAGGCGGCCCGGCTGGCGGCCGACGCCCTCCTGGAGCGGGGTGAGGCTGCCTACCTGCGGGTCATCTCCGAGGAGCGGGAGCTGCCCTTCCTGAGCGCCCTGGATGTGGACTACATGACCAGCCATGTGCGCGGGGGCCCTGACCTCAGCGAGGCCCAGGGGCAGGAGGCCTCGGGGCCAGACCGCCTCAGTCTGCTCTCCGAAGTCACCTCAGGCACTTACTTCCCCATGGCCTCTGACATAGACCCCCCAGACCTGGACCTGGGCTGGCCCGAGGTGCCACAGGCCACGGGCTTCAGCCCCACCCAGGCCGTGGTCCACTTCCAGAGGGACAAGGCCAAGAACATCAAGGACTTGCTGCGCTTCCTCTTCAGCCAGGCCCGCACGGTAAGGGCCTCATCTCTCCATCGCTCAGCTCACAGAGGAGGAAACTGAGGCCCAGAGAGGGAAGGGACCAGCCAAGGCGACGCAGTGACTTAGGGGCAGAATGAGGACCAGCACCTCTGGCACTATTAGATCGCAAACTCCTAGAAGGGGGGCATCCCATATTTACCTTGGCAATGCTTGGTCCCCAGGAGTAGTATGGATGAGCCTAGAACAGGGCATGGGCATCAGGGACTCCACAACCTTCTGAAATGCACACCAAGTGGTGCAGGTTGGAGGGAGGAGTCCTCGCTGCATCTTTACCTTGGAAGATGCTCCACTGCCTTATCAGTTTCTCAGAAAGTTTTATGATCCCCACACTAAGAACTCCAACCTTGGGGAACAGCTGAGTCACTTCCTTAACTTACAGAAGAAGAAACTGAGACCAGAGAGGGGCTTGGGACTTGCCCAGGGAGGTCCATATGGTGACATAGAGTTCAGGGCTCGGGGAGACAGGGGCTCTCTGACTTAGGTCCTGGGGAGCAGTCCAGCCGTCCTTGCTGGCTCAGGTCCCCAGTTGCCCCCCACCCTCCTGCACCACATCTGCAGCTGGGCCTGAAGCAGGGGAGGCGGCCAGCGTGTGGGCCTCTTTGGCATGTCCTCGAGGGCTGGGCTTTGGAACCAAGGAGGAAAGAGGAGAGGAGGATGCTGGGCTCAGTGATGGGGAGCAGGAACTCAGGAGAAAGACAATTGGGAGGGCAGGTGGGGGTGGTCAGCACCCAGAAAGGCTCTGGCCACACACAAGCACAGCTTCACTTCTGAAGCCCTGGCCTCCTACTCTGGGAGAATGGACAAGATGACCCCTGGCTGGGTTTGAGGTAGAGTTAGGTTCCTGCTGCAGAGATGGGAAGCCAGGATACTGGGATCCCACCGGTACTTCCAGAGCTTCCTGGCAAGCCTGCCTGTGCCCCAGGCAGGGGACGGCCAGGCCTGATTGGCATCGGGAATGGGGTTATTAGTGAGGCTGCTGCTGTCGTCATCCTCACCCCTGCCTCTTTGATCTTTCCTGCCTGTCCTTGTCCCCCTACTCTGGCCAGGCCTGTGCTGTGAACTAGGGCATCCCCCAGTGCCTCACTTTCTCAGCCCCCATTTAGACCCCTCTGTCCTGGGCCAGGAGCCAGGCTCGTGTACTGGGCTGTCATGACTCCTAGTGACCTTGGGAAATGTTGCGTTGCCCTGCAGCCCAATGTTTATAGAGCTCTGTTATGTCTTGAGCATTTTCACATTTAATTCCCCGTAGCTCTGAGACATGGCTATCATTAACTCCATTTAACAGCTGAGGAAGTTGAGGTTTCCAGAGGTGAAGCTACTCACCCAAAGCTGTGTCACCAGGAAGTGGTAGAGTCCAGGTTTGAACCCAGTTCTTTCTGACCCCAGAGCTGGAGTGCTATGTTCTGTAACTCCTGCCTCTCGGCCCTGCCTGGGAGAAGAGATTCTCATAGCAGATATATGCCATGGGAAGAAAGGCCAGCTGGGGGCTGGGAGGTGCCAGGAGGGTTTCAGGGGCCTCTTAGAGGCAGCCCTTTATATGGGATGGAGGCACAAGCCCCAGCCCAGTCCTCAACTGAGCGGAAAACTTGGATCCATTTGGCATGGGTGCAAATAAGGGAGTCTGCAGTGTAAGGGGTCACACCAGATCTCTGTGGCTTCACAGGGAAACTGAGGCAGGGCTGGGAAAGGGCAGTGAAGACCCCAGTAAGTGGCTTGTAGCTCTGACCCTGGAGAAGGGAGCCTCAGACAGACAGTCCCTGGGGCAGAGCTGGGCTGGAGTTAGTGGGGGGAGTGCAAGGAACTTGCCTGGGAATTGGGGCCTGGGTTCTGCTTGTCACTGCTGTCCCATCTGGGGCTCAGTGCAGAGGGGGTGTTGGACTAGCACAGTCGATCCACAGTCATCTTTGAGAATCTGATGACAGATAAACACTCGGTGAACCTAAAGATGCACACAAATGCTTTCAAACAGCTAGGGGTTCAAGACAGTCAAATCTGGGCTGGGATTTTACTGTAATCCCAGTGCTTTGGGAGGCTGAGGTGGGAGGACTGCTTGAGGCCAGGAGTTCAAGACTAGCTTGGGCAACATAGTGAGACCCACATCTCTACAAAAAATTAGAATAAAAAAAAATTAGTGGCCAGGCGCGGTGGCTCATGCCTGTAATTCCAGCACTTTGGGAGGCCGAGGCGGGCGGATCACAAGGTCAGGAGTTTGAGATCAGCCTGGCCAACATCATGAAAACCCGTCTCTACTAAAAATACAAAAAATCAGCTGGGCGTGGTGGCAGGCACCTGTAATCCCAGCTACTTGG